CTGGCGGTGGGGTCGAAAGTGGGGTTCGATGTTGAGGCGATGGGTTATGAAGGAGGGGTCAATGCCTCGCATGTCTGAATGGGTCCAGGCGAATACATCTATGTGCTCGGTCAGGAGAGCAGTAAGGTCGGCCTTGGCTTGGGAAGGTAGTTGGCTGCCGATTTTGGCAGTTTTGATTGGGTTGGTGGGATCAATGTTAACTTCAACAAGTTCCTCCACAGGTTCTCCTCTGACCAGCTCGTCCTCGTCTCGGACGTCAAGCCCTTCGATGATCATGGCCTCTTTCAGCTTGACTTCTTTGAGTGAGGCGACATAACACTCCCTGGCCACGGTCTGTTCTCCTTTGGCAGTTCTGACGCCGAGATCGGTAGGAAATTTGATGGCAAGGTGATAAGTGGATGTGATGGCTTGGAAGGCGTTTAGGGCTGTGCGGCCAAGGATGATGTTAGGCGTTGAGGGCTGTGCGGCCGAGGATGATGTTGTAAGCAGAGGAGCAGTCGACCACAAGAAAGGTAAGCAACTTAGTGGTCTGCCGGGGGTGCTCGCCAATGGTGATAGGTAGATCGATGGAATCGATGGAGGTAATGCGGTCACCGGTGAAGCCGACCAGAGGGGTTTGGAGAGGAGACAAACTCTCTTCCCCAATCTTGAGCTGGCGAAAGCAATTGAGGAAGATAATGTCTGAAGAGCTGCCGTTGTCTACGAGGACTCGTCTGACTTTGTAGTTGGAGAGGATGGCGGAAATGACAAGGGGGTCATCATGTGGGTAACGGACTCCTGCACAGTCGGTGTCGGTGAAGGTGATGGGTTCGATCCATTGTTTTGACTGTTTGGGAGGTCGATCCACCGTCGCCACTGCTTTGACTGAGCCTTGTCTGATTTTTCTGAGTTCTGCCTTCTGAGCTGAGCGGGATGGCCCCCCGAAATGACTCTGATTTCTCCCACTGGTGGAGGGGGATTGCCCGGAGGCCGAGGCTGTGGTGGCGGGCGATCGTGGCCTTCGTTTGGTGAGGCTTGATTGCGGGGTGGTGTGCGTCGCCGATTGTTCCTGGGAAGGTCAGTTCTTTGCCTCTGTGCGGGGCGGGGGTCTGTGAATCGGCTGAGGCGGCCCTGGCGGATGAAGGTCTCGGCCTGGTCTTTGAGGTTGATGCACTCGTCGATAGTATGGCCATGGTCATGGTGGAAGCGGCAGTATTTGGACTGATCCTTCCGGGTGGAAGGGTGTCGGGACGGTAGGGGCCACTTGAGGGGGTAGTCCCGCTGGATTTGATTGAAGACGTGCTCCATGGGGGAGTTAAGAGGTGTGTATCGCTCAAACCGACCGGGTGGTCTGGTCGGAGTCGGCCGGTCGGTTCGTGGGGGTCGGTCATTATAGTGGGGTGTTTGGCTATTATACTGGGCGGTTCTGGGCTCGGGGTCTTTCCTCTTGTCTCTGGGGGTCGGATTTTTAGGGGTCGGCTCTTGCCGAGCTGCCAGGGAATCTTTAGCATTCATGTATTTCTTGGCTTTGGATAGTAGAGCTGCCATGGTGGTTGGAGGGTTTTTGGAGAGGGAAAAAAGGAAATCAGACGACCGCAGGCCGCCCATGAAAGCGGTGAGGATGACCTTATCGTCATTCTCCGCTACTTGAAGGGCTTCGGTGTTGAACCGGGTGACAAAGCTGCAGAGCGACTCCCCCTCGATCTGACGAATGTTAAGGAGCTGGGTGGCTGGGCGTCTCTGACGCTGGGCTCCAATAAAGTGGCTCAAGAAGGAGTCACTGAGGTGTTGAAAGGTGGAGACAGAGTCCGCCGGGAGTTGGCTAAACCACAACCGAGCTGATCCCTTCAGTGTCACTGGAAAAGCTCGGCACATGATCTCGTCAGGGAAAGCATGGAGGATCATGAGGGTGCGATAGGATTCCAGATGGTCGACTGGGTCCGTTGTGCCATCGAAGGAGTCAACGGTAGGCATCTTGAACTTGGCAGGCAATGGTTTGTCGCGGATGGAGGCAACAAAAGGCGAGTTGGTAGTGACTGAGGGCTTGTACTGAATGTTCTGCATGACCCCTTGTAGTTGGAATTTCATAGCTCGGATTTCAGCGTCCCAGAGGGGAATGTTGTCGCCATGGTCGGTTAATGGAGGCTGAACACTGCTAGCTTCCCCCTCAGGAGCCAGTGCTGCGACTGGCGGGCGTGGAGGTGGGGGTGGTAGGTTTTCATGTTGGGGAGGAAGGGGCTACGAACCTTCTGGGTTAGGCGGAGGGGGTTGTGGAGCAGTATGGCCTGGGGTTATTCCTTGGTTGGGTGGGATATTTGGAGGTGGAACGGGAGGTGGAACGGGAGGGTTTCTCTGGAGTAACGCATTGATCAGGGCTTGGTTTTGCTCGGCCATGCGGTTAATGCTGTTGGTGAGCTCGATGATATATTGTGGTGGGTTAGTTGGGTGGAAAGGATCTGTTTGGTGATCAGCGACGTTGTGGTGAGAAGCCATGGACCTAGTCGTGACCATACACCTGGACGGGCAAGAGGGAAAGGTGATGGTGAGAAGGGAGGGCTCCGGCGGTAGTGAACACAACTAGTGCACAGATAAACCACTAGGTTTCCCACAGACGGCGCCAACTGATGATACAGGCCGTCCCGAGTGGATGGGAACACAACTAGCGCACGGATAAACCACTAGGTTTCCCACAGACGGCGCCAACTGATGATACAGGCCGTCCCTGGTGGATGGGTCAGGCTGGCCCAGGTTCTTCAGGTTCCGGCTTCGGGTGATGATTCCGTCAGATGACCTGCAAGCAAGTCCAAAGGGGAACGGGGCAGTCCCCCAGTGAACCCTCCGGCGAGAGAATTAGTAAAAGGAAGACCGGAAAATGTAGTGAAGAAGATGGAGAAATGAAAAGCTTAACCTTCTTCTTGTGCTTCTCTTGTTGCTTATATCCTTTGGTAATCATTTCACTGTCCTTTGTGATGTGCCCCCTTTTTCGCTGAAAGCCTGTGCCGTAGCTTGCCTTGTTCAGGGTGAGGGGGCTCTGTTCCGACGGGGAGGTGTTGTCGTAATAAATGCTGTGATGGGCTGCATTAATGGTGATGTGTTGTGGCAATAACTCTGTAGATCTTTGTCTGCTGATGTGGCCTGTGTCTCATCTGTCATGTGTCCAAATGCCCTTGGATGATACAGTCCAGGTGGACTCCAGCTGTCCTGGGCTTTGCCAATTAAGTTACGCTACGGGTCCGAGGTGATGGGTTCGGGGCGGTTTACCGTGGGCTGTATGCCCCGTGGGCCTGTCCATGTCAAACCCTATTCACAAGTAGATTCCTGTGCTCTTGCACAATGGAAAACCCATTATTGAGTCTGTTTTCATTGTTGAGTACATTGATGAGACCTGGAAAGGCACTCCCATCTTGCCTCAAGATCCTTATGAGAGAGCCATGGCTCGTTTTTGGACTGAGTTCATAAATGAGAAGGTATGTTTACATCTTTTCTTCTCTTAATTTTATAGTCCCCTATCTAGTTTTGGTGGGATATCAAGTTCATTTGAAAGGCCTAAACAAATTTTGCAATTTTGTTTTGGCAAGTCTAGTATGAGGAGAGAGAGAAAGTGTTTAGTGTCACTCAGGTGACTTGGTGTACCATTTCACAAAATAAAACACCTTTACATACGTATGTAACAGTTATTCAAAATATTTGTCTATAAGTAACATAATATTCCTGTGACACTAAATACTTTTTCCTAGTATGGAATCTTTTGTACTCAAATTCTCTGTTTTTTTATTTTAATGCATTTCTAATTGTAGAATCATATTTTTAGATTTTTGTATTTCAAGATTTTTATTATATCGTGCAGTTGAAAATTCTTCAAGACAGAGAGATTTAGGGATCAAGGATCTGGCTATTATAGAAGTTAACCTCATAATTCCAAAATTTATGAAGTTGTAACCCCCTTTTAATGTTTATACAGACGAAATGTTTAATGACTAATTGAACATTTCATATCCATTGCAGGTTTGCTACTTACAAGCAGAATAATGGTCAACAAAAATGTTCAATTAGTATTAGGGTCTCTTTGGTAAGAAAATATATAGTTTAGCTATAAAAAAAAAAATTAAACAAAAAGTCAAAAAGTTTACAAAAAAATTAAATTATTCTCATTCACCATACTTTTTGCACATTTTTTTTATGTAAAAAACCAAAAAAAAAAAAATCTCAAATATGTTGGTTTTTACATTTTATATTTTAATTAAAAAGTCACTTGTCAAATGAGGCCTAAAGCCGAGCCTAATTAGGTTCAATCCCGACCTCCTAAATTTAGACCAACAAGCTAGGGAGACCTGGAAAATTACCAAAATTCGAAATCCATGTGAACTAAATTCATTTTGATGCGAAAATATTACGTTAAGTTTGAATCTATATTACACATTTTATTTTTTTATTAACTTTTCGAGATATTTCTTTGGGTTCCCTAAGTTTTTCAATTTTCACTCAGGCAATGTTAGTCTAACCATTAAATCATTAAGGTCATCGCCCAAGAACCTATCTTTTCAAAAAGCACCAAATTTTTAAGTTACACACCAAGTACTCATATCTACAATGAAGATAGATAAAATAAAATAAAAAGTTAAAAAAAAAAAATGCTAGGACTGGGATAAAATTCTACCATGGCTCAAATGGTACATTCTGAATCCTTCCATTGACTTCAAGCATTCCCATCACTTTTATTCAAATTCACACTTAATTTTATACTTTGGTGTATAGTGCTTGCCTAAAACTCATCAAAAAAATTTTCTTATCAGTGAATGTCTCAATTTTTCAAACCTAATAAGATATGAATATTCAAACCTAATACTCATTTTTTCAAACCTAATAAGATATTCATGTCCAATAAAAAGACAAAAAGACAGGGTCCACCCTTGTCTTGTTAAGTTCGGATATGAATATTTGTTGTTAAGTTCGGATATGAATATAATCTCGAAGAAGATATCTACAAACCAAGAAAAGGAAAAGTATATTAAATGAGAGAATTTAGCCAAACCAAAATCACAAGTGTTATTCAAATACAGAGTATTTGATCATTAATTTCCATTTAGTCTTAAAAATAAAATTATCATCATCCATAGGAAAACCCCATAAATACAGAACTCATATATAGCGAGAAAAAGGAAACTACTGTATGTAGAGATATGAAAATAAATTCTTCAATTTTGTAGATCAGTTCTTGCGAAAATCTGAGTCTTTGACTATGGTCACAGGGCAAGCTGCATTTGTCAACACATAGTTTGTCACACTTCCCAATAGTATCCTGTTTGATCGTCATCAACATCAACAGCCCAAATCAAACACACCCATCAATATATGTATATAGGGATGACAATGGATAACCTACCCTGTGGGTATCCATGGAGACCCAACCCAAATACATGGGTTTTCCCCTCTTTTTCTTATCCATTGGGTAGGGTAGGTGATATTCTTTAAATACCCACAGGGGATGGGTTGGGGATGGGTACCCACTAATTTCCCCATATGTTTTTTTTTTTTTTTTAAGATTCACAACCAAAACTAAATATACATTCAATCTTTTTTCTTTTTTTTATTTATTTATTTTTTCAGGTTCACAA